TCACCATTCCACCAGAACTGCTCTTGCTAAGGTTGTCAATGACCTCTTGACATTGTGGGCTTAGTGTACTCAACCCAGGGTATTGGACACGATTCACCTTGCTCTCTCTCTGTTTTTACTCTTTTTTCTCTGCCTTTTTTCTTCCTCATAAATAGCCCTTTCTTTGGCCTGCTGATCTTTGTGTCTTTACAGTTCTTCATAGTTTCCTTTGAACAGCTCAATTAAACCTAAAGAAACAGCTATCAGATTTATCTCTCTCATTAGATCTCCCTGTAACTAGTCAACTCCATCTGAATGTCCCATAGGCTCTTCAAACTCAGCTCCTCAAATTCAACTCATCGTCCCTCCTCTTGTTGTTGTTTTTAGCTCAATGCATGCATTCCCAAATCTTATTCTGGAATTTGGGACTCATACTGGAATCCTGATTCTTCTTTATTTCCCGTATCCAGTTAGTCAGAAAGTTCTACGGATTTTATTTTCCTTATTAATTCTTAAAATCGTCTCAACTGCTATTGCCTTGGTTTAGGTTTTCATCACCTAGTGCCTTCAATTTGGTCTATCTGCTTCCAAAACTGCCTTCCTCAAATGTATCTTGCACGTTGTGTTTTAGTGATCTTCTTAAGACTCAAACATAATCAGGAAACTGTCTATTCGAAGGTCCCTATCAGCTTACAATTGCTTTTAGGTTAAAGTCTCAAATTCCTGATATTCAGCATGGAAAGCTCAACTTTTCCCTCAATTCACAAATGAGTACACTCTTACTGCAGCTTTTTTTTTTTTTTTTTTTTTTTTTGCTTCAATGTCCCATGGTGTTTAGTTCTCCAGTGCTTTTGTACATGCACTCCCCTCTCCCTGGAGTGTCCTTCCCTACCTGCTTCGCCTACTTTGCTGGTTGCCCTTCATGACTCAGTTTTTTTAACCCCTATTTGTGTTCCCATATACACGATGCTATTTCGTGATGACTACTTTATATGCTATCTCGCTGTACGTATTTCTTCCAAAACAGGGACTAAATTCTTCATCCATCTACTCCATTGCTTAGCACCATCCTCGTTTGTGATTTACTCCCTACTTGGAGTATTGGGGTGTGTGTGTGTGTATTGGTGTACAAGCCTGCTTGCACAAACGGAGAGCGTGAATCCGAATCTCTGCTGGGCACTCAGCGCAGTGGGCACGCGAAAGCTTTAACTCAGGCTTTCGCATGATCACCACCGCTATTAATGAGCATTTAACCACCTGTGACGTCCAAAGTATCCCAGACTGTGCAGCAGCGCAACACCTTTGCGCAAGCGCAGGGCGGATAAGGAGGGGCGAGGGACAACCGCCTCCAGGCGACGAAGGTTGCGCGCAGGCGCATCCAGAAAGAAAGCCTCTCTTATTCGGCCCTCCCTTTCCAATCAGCTCAGGCAGAGCTCGCAAATAGTCATTTCCGGGAAACCGGCGGTTGCTTTGTGGGGTGCAACATGGAGACGACTAGTGGAACTGTTGAACCGGTGAGTCGCTACTCTGGGGTCGGGTGAGTGGGGAAGTCGAGCCGGGTCGAGCTTTGAACACCGTCTCACCCCTTTGTTCCCTTCCCAGGTTTCCGGGGACCTGGTGTCTGTGGCACATGCTCTTTCTCTCCCAGCCGAGTCTTATGGCAATGATGTGAGTATGACTCACCCCCAGCTCTCTCTCAGCTAGACTGCTATGTGTGCAGGGCCTGCCACGAAATTGTAATCCGCTGATATCCTCTGTGAACCCACTCCATACCCGACAGAAACCGTGCTTTTTCATTCATTCTAAACCTTTTTGGTCCTCAAACCCAGGACAAATGCCGGTGGAAGTAGTTCCCAAACTTTGCTGCACTAGAACCACCTGAGAAGCTTTTATACCTTCCATTGTCCAGGTCGCAATCTATACTGATTAAATAAAAATATCGGGGGGGGGCGGTGAGAGTCAGAAATTAATATTTTTTAAAGTGAGTGATTTCATTATGCAGTAAAGAGGCACCAAATTATGGTATGTCTTGTTTAGATTCTTAAGAAGAAAGCATATGATATTTTTGAGGTACAAGACCCAGGGACATGAGAAATAGTAATAACACTCAAATAAAAATGTGATTGATGTTTGTTAGATTAGGGTGTAAGATCCAAAGGAGTTTAGCCGAAGAAGAAACCCCTAAGAACTGAGACAGTAGAGGACGACTTCACTGAGAAAGTGAATCTCTAACTGGATCCTCAGAGTATAGATGGACAAAGGACATGGTGTAAGGCATGGAGGTAAAAATGCAAATGACTTTGCTGGGGTCAGTGAAGTAGATCCATCTAGCTGGAGTGGGAGGTTTTAATGGAACAGGTGGTAGGTATTTGGTAAGGCTTATTTATAATCTAGCCTGCTTCACAATAGTGATTCAATTTTAAGTGTTATGGATGGGAAATTGATTATCTTATAAACACAAATGATGATTATAACATGTTACACTATCAAAAGTAAAGGGTATTTCACTTCCATTATCTTTATTCTCCCAGCAACTAATTGATATATGTGAGTATATTGTATCAGTTTTACAGTGGCTTAATTCAGTCCTCAGAAGGCAATCTATCTACTGCTTTATGTAGTCTCCCACACTTTCACTAGCTGCTGGACAAAGAGCCAGTGGCTTATGCTGTTGACTAGACTGTGTAGGCAGCTCCTTTTGGTGGGTAGTTTCCTTCATAAGGACAAAAGTTTTCTATTTTCCAAACCCGTTAGTCCAGTTTTTATCCTTTGACAGTAACACCAAGTTTGGTAGTGTTACTGACATTACCTAGACCTCCACAAAATTCCTTAATTTGTTCTCTAGTAGCAGGATTGGGAGATTCTGACCTGGCATTCTTCACTCCTTTGCAGCCTGATATTGAGATGGCTTGGGCCATGAAAGCAATGCAGCATGCTGAAGTCTACTACAAGGTGAGTTGTCTGTCTTCATTATTAAGCAGAATTAAGCATGTAATTGTAGGGTATGGTTCTTTGCTAATCACTATTCTCAGCAAGTTAAGCATATGTATTTTGGAGATAATTTTTATTACTGTAAGATTTTACCCACAGAGAACGAGGGGGTGGCAGTGAATTTTGTTTTGACAAAGAGGAGTTGTACTTCTTTGCCCAGTGTTCTGCTAACTGGCAAAATGATTACATAGTAGGCAATTAATAAATGTTTGATGACTGAATGAACAATTAATTCACAGAGGGCAATAGCCAGGCGGTACTAGGACCAAAAGGGTTTGAACTGGTGGCAGGGACAGTAGTATGTTATGGCCCTTGAAAACTGTGTCATGATTTCATCTGGGACCTCGTCTGTCTGTACTTCCTAATAACTCTTCTGCCCTTAGAACCATAAATATTTTCTGGGGAAGGGGGGATAGAAGTGTAGTAAATTAGAGACTAGTATCTGTGTGTTGTCTTGTGTCTGGCAGCTGATTTCATCAGTTGACCCACAGTTCCTGAAACTCACCAAAGTGGATGACCAAATCTATTCAGAGTTTCGGGAAAATTTTGAGAAACTCAGGATAGATGTATTGGATCCAGAAGAGCTCAAATCAGAATCAGCTAAAGAGGTAAGAATTCTCTCAAATATTGCCAAGCATCTGACCAACAATTATTGATTGTGGAAACATTTTTAGGGGCACCTGGGTGGCTCAGTTGTTAAGCATCTGCCTTTGGCTCGGGTCATGATCCCAGGGTCCTGGGATTGAGCCCCACATCGGGCTCCCTGCTCAGCAGGAGGCCTGCTTCTCCCTCTCCCACTCCCCCTGCTTGTGTTCTCTCTCTCTCTGTCTCTCTCGTCGCTGTCAAATAAATAAATAAAATCTTAAAAAAATTTTATACAATTAAACTTTTTTTAGTATGTTTTAAGGAAATATGTAAAGAACCAGGGCTTTTATGTAGTTATAATCAACTAATAAGTAAGTTATGTTATGAAATAAATATTTTTCTGGTTTATGAGTTTTTTATGTTCATGGGATCTGTTTTTTCTTTTCTTTGACTTGGACATTTCATCCCTTCCTACCCAGCCCTTTCAGGGGAGAAGGAGCAAATTTTCTTATGTTAGTAGTTTAGCTTGGATGGAGAATTGGCAAATTGGAAAAAAAAAAAAAAGGTTTGGATGGAGAACTGGCAAATAGGATACAGGGAGGTGTTTGAATTCTCCGGATTTAGGTTCACATTATCATAGGCCATGGATAATAGGAGAACTTAGGTTTCCCATTGCTTATCTGATTATCCTACTTTTACAGTGTGCTAAAACTCTTATAGTGGGGAAAAGATTTCTCAGAGTAGGTCCTTGGTTTACCATATATGTAAACTTTTAACATTGTTACTTGGTTTATGATGTATGTAAACTTTTAACATTGTTACTGTTGACTGTTAGTTACTGATCTTTGGAAAAGTACCTCTAGCAATGGACTTCTTTTTTTTTTTAAGATTTTTATTTATTTATTCATGAGAGACGGAGAGAGAGGCAGAGAGAGAGAAAGGCAGAGGGAGAAGCAGGCTCCCAAGGAGCAGGGAGCGGACTTCTTTCTTAAAATTTAACTGTGACTTTGTGGCCACATTCCTGCTGCCTTTGTCTCATTTGTGCTTCAGTGGGGGTGAATAACTATTTTGGGCTGAGTTAACCATAACGTAAAAGCAAAAATGAATACATTTAAGAAATCCAATTTTAATTCTGCAGTCGAGGATTTAAATATTTTGTCAAGGTAAAATATTGTTCATGTTGGGAAGTACCAGTCTAAAGACAATAGATAGCATGGAAACTTAATGCTACTGAAAGTCGAAATCAACTCAGTCCTAGTCTCTTTCACTATGGGAGTTTTCCTTACTGAGGAAGTGGAAACCCTTCTCCTGGCCTGACTTCACCAGCCTCCTGCATTTGTCAGCTAAGGCATCTTTTTTGCCTTTATAGAAGTGGAGGCCATTCTGCTTGAAGTTTGATGGGATTGTAGAAGACTTCAACTATGGTACTTTGCTGCGACTGGATTGTTCCCAGGGCTACACCGAGGAAAACACCATCTTTGGTGAGATTCTTGCCTCTGGATGGTTTCTGTATAAGGAGAGTGAGGGATCTGGTTTTATGGATGGATTTGTGACCTGAATAGTTTGGGGGTCATTTTATTTGTTACATATTTAAAGATCATGTTACTGTTTGTTGAGTGTGGGATAAGCTGGTTAAGTATTTTCAGCCTCATTTAACAAGATTAGAATTCCACATCTGTGAAGTTTATGACTGTACTGGAATGCTTTGACTGTTAGTTCAGTTTTCCGTAGGTTTAGAGAAGTAACTGTGACTAGGACAATGATCAATTCTATTCACCTTTCAGCCCCCAGGATACAATTTTTTGCCATTGAAATTGCTCGGAACCGGGAAGGCTATAACAAAGCAGTTTACACCAGTGTTCATGACGAAGAAGAGAAAGAAGGCAACCATGGAAGAGAGGAAGGAACTGACAGTGGACGGGCAGAAGAGAAAGGAGCCAAAAGAGAAAGAGAAAAAGCAAAAACCAATAAAGGAGAAGAAAAAGAACAAGGAGCCAACAAAGAAATCAGCAGGAGTGGTGAAACAGCTATGTAAGGTAGACAAGGAATAGCACTCTGGAAGCTGTGACTCAGCTAAGTCTATAGATACTATGATGCTACTTGCACAGACCCTAGTGGTTAAATGTATGTCCTTGTGCAATTGAAAGACATACAGAAGGACATTCTTTCTAGCTAATAATCATGAGCTACTCCAGTTGTTCTCTTGTATGAGCCAGCTTAAAGACTATTAGTGGGGTCTTAGTTGAGCATTTCTTGGTATAGTGTTTCTTGGTTCTCACCACTGGTCAAGTAAGAAATTTTATGAATAAATTTCTTTTGGTTCTTAGGACTATATCTGTAATTGACTTTTAAAAGATATTTCAAATTATTTGACACTTCAGGTTTTTTTCAGGTATATAATCTCTTTGTCATGTCTTAATATAAAGTGATTTATGCCTGTTTTTAAATGCTTATTATTGTTTCCTGCAGTGAAGTTTCCTCAGGCCTGTTAAGCTGTGTATATGGTTTGGGGATTAGAAGTTCCTATGTAACAGTTAATTCCTGCTATTTGAGTAAGTATAGCTTTCTGATTTTCTTTGATATATGTGGCAAAATATTTGATGAATACTCTGTGGAGATAAGAGCTGGGGCCTGAACCTGTCAGACCGGTGAATGCAGCCCAGTTCACATTAGAAGAGCAGGACACTGGACCTGCTTCAGGACCTGCTTCTCTTCTGGTACCGAAGTTGTTACCTGAAAGCTAGCAGAAATTAATAAGTATAAAGCCTGGTAGAGTGACTTCCCTTTTATAATGCTATGGACAATAGCATACATTTACATAGTAATGTAAAATGAACATTTTTAAATGATACTTCGCCAGACTCCAAAAATGGACCAGTGATTTTGTATAGATGGAGGGGTTTCTTCTCATCTGATGACTTTTAGGAGTGCATGTTTCAGTTATCTTTACAGATGTATAAAGGTTTGTGCATGTCCCCATAAACCCTCTGACCTTGATTGCTAAAACTAGTTAGAGGAAGCCACAATGTTTATAGTGCATACAGCAAATACTCTGAAAACTCAAACCACAGCATGGTCATTCAAGAAAAGATTTATCAGAGCGGAGAAGGGGGAGAAGTGAGGTTTTTTTTTCCCCTGGTGGACACAGAATAAAAATAAAAGTTAAACTTAACTGATGAATTATTTTCTAGGCAAGAGCTGAACTAGAGATACATACAACTAGCAGCAACAACTGTGCACAAAGCTAGGTTTCTCTATGGATTCTTTTTAGCTAATTCTTAAAAATATTTAAAACATTTGTTAGACTTTTCATTTTACAAAAAATACGCTTTGAAATGGGTAGGGGAGTGTTAAATACTTCATACTAGACAGATTTTTAAAAATCAAACTTCCTTTACTGTATTGACTTTGTCTAGTTCATACATTCTTAAATATCCATGAACATGTGTCCATACACATTGCCTGAGGGACTGGGGAAGAATAAAGATTACTGGCTGCATACGATTCTGCCTGTGGTGGCCTTTTCCAGGTTACTCACGAGCAAGAAAACTGGCTTAATTACTTCTCTCTGATTTTGTGGAGAATAAGAAATAAACCATTAAAAGACTACTTCAAAGCCAGAGGCATCTCTGTCCAAGAACTAGGAAATACAAACTGGGCAAAGGGAGGAGAATAAGAACATGGAACACTTCAGCAACATTGTAAGGCCAGGAAACCAAGACAGTATCCAAGGTCAAAGGGGAGAGTGGGCAGATTTCTTAAGATGGCCTCACGATTTCCACCCCTAGCATACATGCTCTGTATAATTCCCTCCTGTTGGTGTGGCAAAGCCTTGTGAATACGAGGGGATTTCATTCCTTCATTTTAAGTTACTAACCATTTAATTTTGAGTTAATCAAAAGGGACATTATCTTGGGTGGGTCTGGCCTAATCAGGTGAGTCCTTAAGTGAGACAAGCAGCTGCAAATGTTCACCTGTTGGCCTTAAAGAAGCAAAAATCTGTGTTGTGAGACAAGCGGGCCATGTGGCAAGGACCTGAGGGTAGCCTCTGGGAGCTAAGAATGCTCTCGGGCTGACAGCCAGCAAAAAAATGGGGATTTCACTCTATAGTTGGAAGGAACTAAATTCTACCAACAACCAGTGAACTTGGAAGAGGACTTAAAGTCTCAGACGAGCTTGTAGTCCTGGCTGATACCATGATTTTGGTCCTGTGAGACCCTGAGTAGAGGACCCAGTTGAGCTGTATCTGGACTCTTAACCCACAGGACTGTGAGATAGTTATGGGTATTGTGTTAAGCTACTAATTATGTGGTAATTTGTTATGGAGCAGTAGAAAATTGCTACAAGACTCTGGTACCGGAAGTGGAGTGCTGCTGTATCAAGTACTTAAAATGTGGGAGTGGTTTTGGAATCAGGCTGTGGGTGAAGACTGGAAGGATTTTGAGGAGCATGATAGGGAAAGCATAAATTGCCTTAAACAGGCTGTCAGTAGTAATATGGACTTGAAGGATGCTGTAGGTGGGGGCTCAAAAGGAAGTAAGGAACATGCTGTTGGAAACTAGAAGAAAGGGAGTCCTCCTTAGGAGGTGGTAGCATTGTGGTTAGAGGCCCAGAAGTTTGGGATTTGAGCCTTTGCTCTGAATTATTTGGGAGATGTTATCAAGCCAGGCTTGACATAGTGTGTAAACATCTATGATTTATTCAGAATATGGTGCCATTCCAGTCATTTATCTCCATGACAACTTCTGGAGGCAGGGAAAGGGCACAGACTAATTTTGGCATTTACAGAAGGGAAAATTGCAGTCATTTTAAAGTTTTAGGCCACTGAATTTGTGGTAATTTGTTACAACAGCAATAGGAAACTAATAAAAAAGGCATACTGAGCCCTGCTTCAAAAGTAGAGACATTCACTGCACTGTAATTATTTTGAAACAAAGATGTTGGACCAGATGATTGAAACATGAACTGCACCCAAAACAAGCTTCAGTGATTCTAAACCATTTTGAACTTACTCTTCTAAGCCATTCCTGTAGCTGAGTCTGTGTGTGTGAGGTGCCATTAATATAATTGGGAATTCTCTGAATTTGCTTAATGGTAACGATATAGTGCTTAGTAATGAGTATGTGCTCATTTGAAGCTTACATATATATTAATAAAACGCAACAGTAACTTCATCAATTGTTTGGACCTTAGACAAAATATTTTTCTGAAAAAGTGTATTTTATCATTGATGTTGTTTAAAATTTCCAGAGCATGGTGATAATTCAAACAGACCAGATTTTTGTTGGTTTTATTGCTGTTTTTAAATTTTCTACAGATAATACAACTCTTTTTTGCTTGCACACAATGTGAATGATCCTCACTATCCCACCTTGGTACACCACAATTACTTTCATACATATTTTTATTCAGATAATCAATATCTTAGGGGCACCTGGGTGGCTCAGTCTGTTAAGTGTCTGCTTTTGGCAGGGTCCTGGGATCCAGCCCCGCATCAGGCTCACTGCTCAGCGGGGAGTCTGCTTCTTCCCCTCCTTCCTGCTGTGCTCTCTTGCTATTTCTGTTGCTCTCAAATAAATAAATAAAATATCTTAAAAAAGTAGTCAATATCTTAATAGATGATTCACAATTAAGGCATGTATGTATGTTTTGTGAATGGCCATTTTCCCATGCCTACATGTTTTTATCTCTAGAATTAATAGAAGCTTTACAGATGTCAACATGATGTTGGTCTCCTGAACTGTACTACTTTTACATGATGACCATTTATATGACTGGCTAGCTTTAAATTTTCCCTACTCAGGCTTTCTCTGATTTCCTCAATATAAACTGCATTTTCAGGGCACCTGGGTGGCTCAGTCGGTTAAGTGGCTGACTTGAGTTCCATCAGGTCATGATCTCAGGGTCCTGGGATTGAGCCCCAAGTCTGGATCTGCACTCAGTGGGGAGTCTGCTTGGGGATTCTCTCTCTCCCTCTGCCCTTCCCCCCACTCACACACACTCTCTCTAAAATAAATAAATCTTTAAAATATATATATCATATTTATTGTATTTTCTTTAAGTCAGTATATTTTCATTTTATAAAAATTGAGATTGAATTGGGGCACCTAGCTGACTCAGTAAGTGGAGCATGCAACTTTTGATCTCACAGCTATGAGTTCAAGCCCCACATTGGGTGTAAAGCTTACTTAAAAAAAATTGATATTGAATTATAAAGTAATTTGGCCTCCATCACATAAGTGGTGGTATTGGGATTCAGATCCATATCTTTTGGTTGTGAATCTTATTGTTTTTCCAAAATCCCACTCTAGATTCAGCTTCTTTCTAGAATAGAGACAAATAATTTGAGTAAGGAATCAAAGTATTTAATAATCAAAGGTAAGCATTCTAGTGTGGAGTGATGTACTGAGCTAGTTTAAGCTCCTCAAATATCTGTAATTTCTCTGCCTTTTTCCTTCTTATCTCTGCAAGAGATTCCTTGTTGCATATGCAACTCAGACTTGTTTAAAAATCATTACAGTATAATCATTATAGTGTATCACTGTAATGTTCAGTTTAAAAATTACATTTTAAATTTAATTTCTTCACCTTTCTTATGAACTGAGATTTGGCTGATACATTTCTCTCAAGTGTTTTGCAAGGTGTTTTTTTTAAGGTTTTACTTTGTCCTTCTGAAATTCATACAGATTTTTCAGGATAAATCACTGGAAGCTCTAATAGATATTACTCGTTGGTCTTTACATTGAAAAGAGCATAAGGGAAATAAAAAATGCCTTAACTTAGAGAAGAATAGGCTTTTGCAACTAGAAGGTATCTCAGAAGTCTAACTCAAAAATTTCATTTTTTTTCTGGTGAAAAAACAAGGCATTAAATGGTGTGCTTTGCCCAGTTGAAAATCCTCTATATATGTAAAAAATTGTTTATTAATTTACTTACTGTCCTTTCTTTTGCACTAAGAACACCCACCAAGACATCATTCCATAAGGTTCCCTTTGTCCTAGATATACCCTGCACAGGATGCTTTCCTCTAGAAAACAGTTTTAAAATATTCATCATGCTTCTCCATAATTTAGGATTCTTCTGATATCCTTTCTGTTTACACTAATATCTGGCCAAACTTACACAATTCTGAGAATTTGGATGATGTTTAAAATCAAAATCACAATAATTTAAAATTTCCAAGTTTTTGCCTTTTTATTAAAGAAAACAAGGCTTCTAAAAAGTTGGTCAGTCTTTTTTTTCCCAGCTTCCAGTAGTTTATTTTTTTAATTTTATTTTAGTATGTTATGTTAATCACCATACATCATTAGTTTTTAATGTAGTGTTCCATGATTCATTGTTTGCATATAATCTTAAGATCATTTTTCTTCCACAAAGTTACTAAGGCCTACTTGCTATCATTTGGTTTGGGGAAGATAAACAAGGGAATTCTTTCTGCCTCCAGCCCCTGTAATTGTAATCAGTTGATTGTAAAAAGTTGATTGCCTCTTCATCCTGTATGAAATCATGACCTCTAAGGACTCTTGCTTACCTGCCAATCTCACATCTTAAATTATCTTTTTTATTATGAACATTTTAAACATATGCAAAAGTAGAAATAATATAATGAACCCCTAAATATCTGTTACCCAGATTAGTTATCAACATTTTGCCACATTTGTTTTATTTATCCTTTTTTCTTTATTGAAGCATTTTAAAACAAATCTCAGACATCATATTATTTTACTCCTATATATTTTATTGTGCATCTTTAAAAAATGGACATTTTCTTATATAATTGCAATAATAATATTTTTAACTGATATTCAATTATATAGCAAAACTTAAAAGTGCATACTACAAATGATACTCAGGAGATAGTCCTTTAGAGTATATTTAAGGAATAGGTTGACTGAAATATGACTAAGAGGATATATGTGTGTACAAGAGAATTGGTAGATGAGGTTGAAAATATGTATTTGATTCACTCTGGGCACTAATAATGAGCCCTAGATACTGAGCTAGATGTCTTACATCTTATCCCTAACATATAGGCATTATTAACTCCGTTTTACACATTAGGAAATTTAGACTTGAAGAGATTTTGAGTCCCAAGTTAAGGAGTTTAGATGTAATTTAGCAAGTAGTGGCTAGATATTGGAAGTTTATTTTAATTTCTGGGTAGTCATATGATGACAACTGCTCAAGGAAGATTAAACAATGTGCAATATTGAGTAAATATTAAGTACTTATTCTGGATTAATTGGTTCAACCTAATCCTTGCATTTTGTGATTAAAAAACAAATCTGTGCTCATTTAAGACATGGAAATCAGAACCCACAAAGAATAAATGTTTAATTACTCATTACTTACTGCCAACATTGCCCAGGAAGGGAAAACCCCATGAAAGATTGTTTATTAATTTTCACTGGCCTCTCTTAGAAATGATACACATCTTTTACTCATATCTTGTCAAATGGAATTCAGTCCCTGCCACTGAATTGCAAAAGAGGGTGGGAAATTTA